GGTCATTCTCAAAAACAGACCATATATTAGCTCACAGAACATACTTAAATAAATGCAAGAGTTGAAATTATCCCTTGCATGGTATCAGATCATAGTGCCATAAAATTAGAAATTAATAATAAAAGATACTGCAAAAATCCCACAAACACATGGAAACTGAATAACACACTCTTGAGTAATCAGTGAGTCACAGGGGAAATTAAAGAAGAAATTAAACAATACCTACAAGCAAACGAAAACACAAATTCAATTTACCAGAATCTGTGGGATGCAATGAAAGCTGTCCTCAGAGGATAATTTATTGCATTCAGATCCCATATCAGGAAAAAAGAATGAATAAAAATAAATAATCTGACGTTACACCTAAAACATTTAGAAAAAGAAGAGCAAGTCAAGCCCAAAGCCAAAACAAGAGAGAGGAAATTATAAAAACCAGAGCAGAAATTAATGCAATAGAGACTAAGAAAACAATCCAAAGAATCAATGAATCAAAGAGTTGGTTCTTTGAAAGAATAAATAAAATTGATAAGGCCTTAGCCAACCTTATTAAAAAAGAGAAGAAAAAGCTCAAATGCATGCAATAAGGAATGAAAAAGGCAAAATCACTACAGACTGCAGAAATACAGAAGATCATCAACACCTATTTCAAAAACCAAACCTCTTTGATAACACAGAAGAAACAGACAGATTCCTAGAAACATATGAAGTACCAAAGCTAGGTCAAGAAGATGTAAAACTGCTGAATAACCCAATTTCTATTAATAAAATTGAAAATGTAATTAAGTCCTTACCTACAAAGAAGAGCCCAGGCCCAGACGGGCAGAATTCTACAAGAAGTACAAAGAAGACTTAATGCCGATACTCCTCAAACTCTTCAATGAAATTGAAAGGGAAGCAATCCTTCCTAAGTTATTCCTGGGATCAAATATTACTCTAGTACCAAAACCTGAGAAAGACCCAAATAAGAAAGAAAACTACAGGTCAATCTCCTTAATGACTCTGTAGATTCAAAAATCATCAATAAAATATTGGCAAATAGGGATGCAGCAAATCATCAAGAAGATTATACACCATGACCAAGTGGGATTCATCTCAGGCATGCAGGGATAGTTCAACATGCGTAAATCAATAAATGCAATCCACCATATCAATAAAACCAAAAGTAAGAATTACATGATCATTTCTATAGATGCAGAAAAAACTTTTGATAAAGTCCAACGTTCATTTATGATAAGAACCTTACAGAAAATTGGAATACAGGGTCTTTACCTCAATACAATAAAGGCCATCTATGACACACCAACAGCCAGTATCATACTAAATGGCCAAAAATTGAAGGCTTTTACTTTAAAATCAGGCACAAGACAAGGATGTCCCTTATCACTGCTATTTAATATAGTACTGGAAATACTAGTCAGAGGAATGAGACAAGAGAGAGAAATAAAAGGGGTAAAGATAGGAAAAGAAGAAGTTAAATTATCATTATTTGCATGACATGATACTCTACATAGAAGACTCCCAAAACTCCATTGAAAGACTCCTAGATATAATAAATAAATTCAGCAATGTGGCTGGATACAAACTCAATACTCAAAAATGAATAGCATTCCCAAACGCTAACAACATCACTGACAGAGAAATAAGAGAAGCCATACCCTTCACACTAGCAACCAAAAAAAATGAAATATTTAGGAATTACTGTCATGAAAGATGTGAAAGACCTATATAGGGAAAATTATAATACATTGAAAAAAGAAATTTAAGAGGATCTCAGAAAGTGGAAAGACATCCCTTGTTCATGGATAGGAAGAATAAATATTGTGAACTTTGCATTCTCCCAAAACTGATATACAGATTCAATGCAATCCCAATAAAAATACCATCAACATACCTCATAGATCTAGAGATATCACTCCTAAAACTCATCTGGAGTGAGAAGAGACCTAGAATAGCAAAGACAGTTCTAAGCAGCAAAGGCAAGGCAGGAGGCATCACAATCCCTGACTTGAAGTTATACTACAAAGCAACTGTAGTAAAATCAACATGATACTGGAATCAACACAGAGCCAAAGATCAGTGGAATAGATTAGAAGATACAACCACGACTACAAATACACTCAACCACCTTATCTTTGATAAAGGGGCCAAACAGGTTCACTGGAAGAACGACAGTCTGTTTAATAAATGGTGTTGGAAAAACTGGCTCTCCATATGCCGAAAACTAAAACTAGACCCATGCCTATCACCATGTACTAAAATAAAATCTAAATGGATCAAAGATATAAATATTAAAACAGAAACACTAAATCTATTGGAAGACAAATTGGGTAAAACCTTGAAGACATAGGGGTAGGTAGAGAATTCATGAACAGGACTCAAACTGCACGGGAAATACTTCCCAGAATCAACAACTGGGATCACCTCTTATTAAAAATTTTCTGCATGTCAAAAGAAACCTCCAGCATAGTGAAAAGAAAACCCACAAACTGGGAAAAAAAATCTTAGTGAACTGTCCCTCAGACAAAGGACTTCTGTCTAAAACATATAAAGAACTAAAAAAAATCAGACCCCCCAAAATTCAAAGATCCAATGCAAAAATGGTCATCTGAGATGAATACACAATACTCAGATGAAGAAATATAAATGGCAAATAAATACATGAAAAAATGTTCATCATTACTCATTGGAGAAATGCAAATTAAAACCACACTGAGATTGCCTTTCACTCCTGAAAGAATGGCCAGGATCAGGCTTGGGATTTAGCTCAGTGGCATAAGCACCTGCCTTGCAAGCAGGTGGTCGTGAGTTCGATCCCTGGTACTGATAAAAATGAAAAAAACAAAAAAAAGAATGGCCAGGATCGAGAAAACTACCAACAACAAATGCTGGAGAGGCTGTGGGGAAAAAGGAACTCTCCTGTACTGGTGGCGTGAGTGTAGACTGGTGCAACCATTGTGGAGGTCAGTCTGGAGATTTCTCAGAAACCTGGGATTGGAGATTCCATTTGTACCAGCTATTCACTTCTAGGCATATTCCCAGAAGAACTGAAAGCATCATACCACAGTTTTATATGTTCACACATGTTTATAGCCATACAATTTGTAATAGACAGATCTTGGAAAAAACCTAAGTGTCCAACAAATGAGGAATGGATAAAAAATTTGTGGTATTTTTATACAATGGAGTACTACTCAGCTATAAAGAATGATCACATTGAGATATTTATAAATAAATGGGTGCAGCTTGAGACCATATTCATAAGTGAAATAAATCAAACTCACATGTATAAATACTGAATAGTTTTAGTTTCCCTAGTGTAAGAAATGATAACAATACATAAAAGTATGTGGTAATCGTAAGTCCCCATTATATTGCTTTGAAGCCTTATGTTTTCATTCATTAATTGGAATGGTTTTATTCTGGGTTGTTTGATTTTATTGTCTGTGATTGTATGAACAGCTATTTTGAAGAAAACAAGACATCATAATAGCTAGTGCTGATTTTATTTCATCTTGTTTTGAAGTCCCATCAAGCTTTTGTTCTTCTGTCTCCATTGGTTTTATCATGTTGCATCTTATTGTATTATATGTGATAATACAAACAAAAATTTTTATAGACAAGGAGATAATATAGAATCCATTGTTTGTTTTCTGTTAGTTGGTTCTAAATACCCTGTAATACTTTCATTCTCTCAAATGGTTTTACATTGTCTTGATATATTTGATGCTATAGTATACGATGTTATACTCAAATATTTCAAGGAAAGAGACACTATGGTAACTATTTTTATGTTGGGTTATCTTGTGGTAAAACACTATGTTGCTTAAATTTTTCTGTTCTGACCTGTGCTGTTGTGTTGCTATGTCTTCTTATATGTCAATCTCCTTTTTTTTTCATTTTTTAATTAAGAAAAAAATAAATAAAAAATAGCAGGATATATTATAGTAACCATTTTGATTTCTTACTATCTTTATTTGTAGCCCTCACCATCTTGTTTTGACTGATTTTCCTCTATTCTGTTTTGCATGACATAGTATCAAGTTTGAGGGTAAAGGCAACTACTTTGAAGACAATAAAATTCACTATGATGCCCATTTTGGTTTGACTATTATCTTTTTTTGAAGTCCTGTAATGTCTCCAATGTTTTGGTTTTATTCTGTACTGTTTTGTTCAATTTTATTATATCTGATGATATAGGCAGTTCTTTTTAAGATATCAAGATGCATATGGTAACCATTGTTATCTCCTTGTATTCTCTTTTTACATCATGTACTATGTCCATCCTTTTGATTTGACTGACTCTGCTTTGTTTTGTCAAATTTGGTTTTATTCTCTTAAAAAAAAAGTAGTAAGAATTGTGGGAGTAATAAAGCCCAAAATGTGTAATTGTTATTATAAAAAAGAGAGGAAAAGATAGTGTTCTAAAGGATACAACTGCAAGTGTGTTTAGGTGTGTAAGATAAATGACCATATTACTAAGTTTTTGTTGCATCATTGAACAGAACTGTTTGCAATCTGTTTAAATGTCCACTTTTATGCTTTAATTTTGTAACTTGGATAGTTATTTCTAAGATGACAATATGTAATCTATTAGTGATTTCTTACTGTTTATTTTTCTCAAATTCTGTATTACTTGTACTCTTTTCCTTTTTAAATAAAATTAAAAAGAAATAAATAAAAGAAATAAAAGGACTACTTTATCACTAGGCTATTATTCTCTATCCTGCCTTTTTCAATCCCATTCTCAGACAGTCACAATGGCTGCCTAAACAGATGTTTCACCCAATCTCTTTTTGGTAGAAGTATCTTGAGATGCTTTTTTTTTTTTTAATTTTAAGATTTCTTAGTGATGAAGGGAAAAGCTACTCTACTACATTATTAGACTAATGACTCTAATTCCTTTCCATTGTGTTTTCTCATGTGGGAAAATTCCAGCTTGTCTTTTTGTAATCAAAATGCTACATATGAAACAAGAAATGAAAGTTTATCTATCTACTTACCCTATTTGATAAGATGCTAGGCCTTCTTTGACTAGCTGGTCATTAATACTAGTAGCAGTCATTCCAGGAGCACCAAAGGAATCAAAGAGTTCAACTAAGAGTACATTATCTTCCAGAATTTCTGTTAAAAAAAAAAACCCATTAAATTAGTTTAGGAAAGAAATAAGTAGATTGCAAAATATACTCAATAGCCAATTAAAAAAACCTGAAAACATAATTTCTTTGTACATATGAGATAAATTACTGAAAAAAATCTTTCTCAAGGGGTTAAAATAGTACTTTGCAGTCACAAATGAGTTACCAATGGTTTCTGTAGTTATTGATGGTTTCTGTTCAAATTTCGTTTTAGGAAAGCTGGGTCTGGTGGTGCACACCTGTAATTCCAGCACTCTAAGAGGGTGAGGGAGGAGGATGGCACATTTGAATCCAGTCTGGGTAAATCAGTGATTTAGAAAGAACTTTTTCAAAATAAAAATATAAAAAAAGGGGCTGTGGATGTGGTTCAGTGCAAAGGCTTTGAGTTCAATTTTCAGTGGTTAAGGAAAAAAAAACCCAGAATAACCAGTTTCTGAGCATCGTGGCACACAGCTGCAATCCCAGCACTCAGGAGGCCAAGGCAGAGGATCTCTGAGTGTTCAAGGCCACACTGAGGTGTACAGTGAATTTAAGCCTTGTCTAAACTACATAGGATGAGATGCTGTTTCAAAACAAAATAAAACAACCCCAAAATACGGAGTACTTTCTGTGCAATAATGAAACAAAATTAGTTTAAAGCTTTATAGACTTAGAAACATATATATAAACTGGGGTGATCCAACATGGCTGAATAGAGAAGTCACATCATAGAGACTAACAGATCAACTTAAAACAGGCAAGTTAAACAGGAGAGGGACATACACTCTGATACGGAAAATCAATTTGAGAGATTACCTTGCTGGACCCAGGAACTCCAGCCAGAAGCGTGTGTGGGGTGGGCCAGATCCAGGCCCCTCCCATGTCCTGCAGTCCTGGCCACCCACCTCAGGACCTAAGAACTCCAACCTGTGATGCGCGCCCCTGCAGTCCCACTGCTGCCATCGGGGACACCCCCCACTTCCTGGACCTAGCATTGCTGTTGAATTTTGGCTCTCACACCTCCCCCTAGAACAGACACTATAAACAGGGCAATCTGGTGACTTTGAACAACCTGAGGACATAACAGTGGGAACTAGGGGTTGATTTCCATCAATACTCCTAGGCTTGTTAGCTTAGGAAGAACATAGGACTCACCCAACAGGCTCTGCAAGGGGAATTCAGGTGACTGATCTACCTCTTCATTGTGGGACCCAGCAACTGGACAAGCATCTACCTTAGAGTAAGACCCCAAGATACAGACTACCAACAGTTGACACTAGTGGGATTGAAGGACCACGTATTAACCCAAAAGGAGAAAATGGCAAAACAAAAAAGCAAAATGCAATCTCAAACATCTAGTCTTCCAGGAGCAAGTATAGGAGACATTGAAATAGAGGACTTCAAAAATAACACACTGGAAATCTCTGAAAAGATAGCAAGTGAAATTAAAAAAACCCAACTCCATGAGGCTATAAAGGAAAACAAATTACAAGTAATCTCTCATGTAAAAACAGAAATAACAACCTTGGTAAAGGAGTTGCTCAGCGCAATAGGTAAACTATTCACAGAAGAAATAGCAGAAAATTTCTCAAACATAGGGAAAAAATCTGATATGCAGATAAGGGAAACACCAAACAATCACAACCAACATAAATCTACACAAAGACATATAATAACTGAGATCCCACACATGTAGCATAAAAACAATACTAAAAGCTGTTAGAGAAAAGACACAACTCATCTATCAAGGAAAGCCCATTAGAATCACAGCAGACTTTTCAGCACAAATCCTAAAGTCAAGACGAGCTTGGAGTAAGGTATTTCAAGTCCTAAAAGAAAACAACTTTCAACCCAGATTGATGTACCCAGAAAAAGTTTCATTTACATTTAATGGAGAAACAAGATACTTCCATGACAAAGAACAACTAAAGGAATTCATGTCCACCAAAGCAACCCTAAAAGAGTGTTGTAAGACATACGAAATAGAGACAAAAATGACCACAATCCCCAGAACAACAACAGAAAGAAACTACTAGGTAGGACAACCAATTAAACAAAGGGGAAAAGCAGAAAGCAAACAACTGGAACATAACATGGCAAAGTCAAGCCAGTATATATCAGTTATATCCATAAATGTAAATGGCCTCAATTCACCTATCAAAAAAAATAGGTTGACAGAATGGATCAAGAAACGATTCCATAATATGCTGTGTACAAGAAACACATCTGATCCAAAATGAAACTCATAGATTAAAAGTCAAAGGATGGAAAACAGTATTCCATGCAACAGCAACCCAGAAAAAAGCAGGGGTAACTATTCTATTTGCAGACAATGTGAATTTCAAACCTAATATGATTAAAAGAGATAAAGAAGGTCACTACATACTCGTTAGTGGAAAAATTCACGAGGAAGAATGAATGATTGTAAATATATATGCACCAAATACAGGACCACCCAACTATACAAGACAAATACTAATGGACACGAAAAAACAAATACACAAGAACACAATTGTAACAGGGGAACTTAATACCCCATTGTTACACAGAAACAGATTAACTAGACAAAAAATCAGCAAAGAAATAATAGAAACTGAATCATACCTGTGAGCAATTGGACTTAGATGTTTACAGAGTGTTCCACCCAGCCACATCAGAATACACATTCTTCTCAACTGCACATGGGACTTTCTCCAAAACAGAACATATATTATCCCATAAAACATTCTTCAGTAAATGCAAAAGTATTGAAATTATCCCATGCATAATATCTGACCATAGGGCACTGAAATTGGAAATTAATGGCAATAGAAATTGCAAAACCTGCATAAATACATGGAAATTAAATAACAACCTTTTGAACAACCAGTAGGCTATAGATGAAATGAAAGAAGAAATAAAGCAATACCTCCAAAATTCAATGAAAATGCAGAAACAACATACTGCAATCTGTGGGATGCAATGAAAGTGGTCTTAAGAGGGAAATTTATAGTAAAAAATTGTCATATCAAGAAAACGGAAGGAGCACAAACAAACAATCTAATGCTTCATCTCAAGTTTCTAGAAAAAGAAGAGCAAGTTAAATCCAAAGCTCATAGAAGAAAGGAAATTGGAAACATTAGAGCAGAAATCAAGGCAACTGAAACTAAAAAAACAATACAAAGAATTAAATGAATCAAAAACCTTCTTTTTTGAGAGAATAAACAAAATTGACAAACCTCTAGCTAATCTTATAAAGAAACAGAAAAAAACCCAAATGCATGCAATAAGGACTGAAAAGGGGGAAATTACTACAGATCCCATGGAAATTCAAAAGATCATGAATACCTATTTTGAAAATCTCTACTCACATAGAGCAGAGGAAACTACTCACATAAGAGGAAAACACAGAAGAAATGAATAGATTTCTAGAAACATATAAACTACCAAGGATCAACCAAGAAGATATAGCAATTTTGAGTAACCTAATGTCAGCTATTGAAATTGAAATATGTAATTAAAAACTTACCAACAAAGAAAAGCCCAGGTCCTGATGGATACATGGCTGAATTCTACAAGAAATTTAGAGAAGATGTGATGCCAATACTCCTTAAACTTTTCAATGAAATTGAAAGGAAGCAATCCTTCCTAAATCATTCCTGAAGGCAAGTATTACTCTCATACCAAAACCAGAGAGAGACCCAACCAACAAAGGAGAACTATAAGCCAATCTCACTAATGAACACTGATGCAAAGATTCTCAATAAAATACTGGCAAATAGAATGCAGCAAATCATCAAGAATATTATATGTTACAACCAAGTGGGATTCATTCCAGGAAAGCAGGGATGGTTTAACATGCAAATCAATAAATGTAATACACCACATCAACAGAGTCATAAACAAAAACCACATGGTCATCTCAATAGATACAGAAAAGCTTTTGATAAAGTCCAACACACGTTCATGATAAAAACCCTTCAGAAATTTGGAATACATGAGGTCTACATCAATCTCATAAAGGCCATCTATGACAAACCAATAGCCAACATTATACTAAATGGAAAAAAACTGAAAGCTTTCACACTAAAATCAGGAACAAGGCAAGGATGTCCACTATCACCACTCCTATTCAATATAGTTCTGGAAATACTAGTCAGGGCAATCAGACAAGACAGAGAAATAAAAGGAATAAAGACAGGAAAGGAAGAAATTAAACTATCACTGTTTGTAGATGACATGATACTCTACATAGAAGACCCAAAAAACTCCATTAAAAGACTACTAGAGGTAATAAACAAATTCAGCAGTGTAGCTGGATACAAAGTCAATGCTCAAAAATCAATAGCATGGGGCTGGGGATTTAGCTCAGCGGCGTAAGTGCCTGCCTTGCAAGCAGGCAGTCGTGAATTCGATCCCTGGTACCGATAAAAAGGAAAAAGACAAAAAAAAAAAAAATCAATAGCATTCCTGTACACAAAAACTCACTGAGAGAGGAATTATGGAAATATCACCTTTCACAATAGCATCTAAAAAATGAAATACTTAGGAATCAACCTAAGAGAGTAAAAGACTTATATGCTGAAAATTATGCTATACTAAAAAAAGGAGATTGAAGAGGATATTAGAAAATGGAAGGATATTCCTTGCTATTGGCTAGGAAGAACCAACATTGTGAAAATGGCCACACTCCCAAAACTTTTATACAGATTTAATGCAATCCCAATCAAAATACCATTGACATACCTCACAGATCTAGAGAACACACTCCTAAAATTCATTTGGAAACAGAAGAAACCTAGAATAAAAAAAAAGGAAACCTAGAATAGCAAAAGCAATTCTTGGTAACAAAGGCAAGGCAGGAGGCAACTCAATTCTTGACTTGAAATTATACTACAAAGCCACAGTGACAAAATCAGCATGGTAGTGCCAAAGAAATAGACCTGAGGATCAATGAAACAGATTAGAAGATGCAAGCACAAGTACAAAGACACTCAGCCACCTGATATTTGACAAAGTTGCTAAACATGTTCTCTGGAAGAGGAATAGCCTCTTTAATAAATGGTGTTGGAAGAATTGGCTCTCCACCTGCTCAGGACTGAAACTAGACTCATGCCTATCACCATGCACTAAACTAAAGTCTAAATGGGTTAAAGATCTAAATATTGAAACATAAACACTAAATCTACTAGAAGACAAGGTACGTGGAAGTCATGGAGACATAGGGGTAGGCAGAGAATTCATGAACAAAACACAAACTGCATGGGAAACACTTCAAAGAACCAACAACTGGGATCTCATATTACTGAAAAGTTTCTGCACTTCAAAAGAAATCACCAACAGAGTGAAAAGAAAACCCACAGAATGGGAAAGAATTTTAGCCAGCAACCCCTCAGACAAAGAACTTATATCCAGAACATATAAGGAATTGAAAAATATCAAGCCCCCCAAATTCAAAGATCCTCTCAGAAAATTGGCATCTGAGATGAACACACAGTTCTCAAATGAAGATATACAAATGGCATATAAATACATGAAGAAATGTTCACCATCACTTGTCATTGGAGAAATGCAAATTAAAACAGCATTGAGATTTCATCTCACTCCAGAAAGAATAGCTGCCATCAAGAAAACAACCAATAACAAATGTTAGCGAGGCTGTGAAGAAAAAGGAACACTGCTCTATTGTTCGTGGGAGTGTAGACTGGTGGGATAGGTAGTTCCATTCAATCCTGCTTATTCCCTTCTTGGGTATCTTCTCAGAAAACCTGAAAATTTCATGGAACAGGAATATATGTACATCTATATTAATAGCAGCACGATTTGTAATAGCTAAATCTTGGAAACAATGAAAATGTCCATCAATTGCAGAGTGAATGAAAAAGATGTGGTATTTTTATACAATGAAATATTTACTCAGCTATAAAATGCATGATCTTGAGGCTTTCATAGGTAAATGGATGCAACTTGAGATTATCCTCAGAAGTGAAATAAGTAAGAATCATATTTATAAATATCACATTGTGTCTCTAGTGTAAAAAGCAATAAGAACTGTAGGAGTAATAAAACCCAAAATGTGTAATTTCTATTGTAAAAAAGAGAGGAAAAGAAAGTGTTCTAAAGAATATAACTGCATTTATGTTTAAGTGTTTAAGATAGATGACCATATTACTAAGTTTTTGTTGGATTGTTGAGCAGAACTGTTTGCAGTCTCACTGTTTGAATGTCCACTTTGTATGCTTTAGTTTTGTAACTTGAACTATTTCTAAGATTACAGTATGTAATTTATCAACTAGTGATTTTTACTGTTTACTTTTTTGAAATTTTGTATCATTACTTTTGATTTTTTTCTCTTTAAATAAAATCTTAAAAAAATCATTTTGAAAGAAGATACTGGAAGATCCAACAAAATGTACCCATGGAAGATAAAAAAAAGGGGACAAGGTCTTCTGGGGCCTGGCTGCAGGGTCCCGGCCCTTAGCCATCCCTGGAACAGCTATCTGAGAAGTTCCCAAATAGATGAAGGGAAGTCAGGAGTATGGCAGAGTCTAGCCTCCCAGAACAGATTCAGGGTATACAGTCCTTTCATTCTGTCATGCCCTCTTTAAACACCAAGGAGGATGGGATGCAGCTCTCAGCATCCTTGCACCAGGCCCTGCCTACTTACCCACCCACAAGCAGAGAGGAGAGGACAAATTTAGTGAACAGCATTCACAAGTGCACCCATCTCCAAATATTTGTAGTTGTCATGTTAGGGGCCCTGGCACAACCAAGTCACTATGGGGCACCCAAAGACTGTTCCACATCAGCTAGGACCTTCATCTGGTACAGGGAGCTAATACTGGTCCCATGTGCGTCTAGGCCTGGCACCTGAATAATTATTTTAAAAACAACAATATACAATGTATTTACTATTATTCTTCTCTTATTTTGTTATTAAATGTTTTACTTTTTTCCATAAAATAAAAAAAGAACTAAAAAATTGATATAGAACTTTCATAAATGGTGAGAGTAAATAGAGTTGAAATAACAGTAGAAGAAGGGGACAAAAAACCTAGGTGTGTTATATACATGTATATATTTCCTTTGATGAATGCGATCATTTTGTATGGCAAACGTACTAAGAAAAAACTAAAAAAACACTATATATTGAATGTATGTATTCTGTTGTATTTTAGACTGTTTAGAATTCAGTTCCAAAATGACCAAGATGAATGACAGTGAATTAAGGCCAGTGAGTATGTCTAAAGTTTTACAGAGTTTTTGAGATAGGTTGTCAGTAGGCTGCTCAGGTTTGTCTCAAATTATAGCTTTGTTGCTATGAAAGTTGCCAGGCATAGATAAGGTCTACAATTTCTATAAGTATGGTACAAATTAAAACAAAACAAAACTAATCTTGAAGCCTTTTTTTTTTTTTGTCTTTTTCATTTTTATTGGTACCGGGGATCAAACTCACAACTGCCTGCTTGCAAGGCAGGTGCTTATGCCGCTGAGCTAAACCCCTAGCCCCTAATCTTGAAGTCTTAATTCACTATTTTTTTCCTGTCCCTTTTTAAAAAATACAAACCATTTAACTTCTTTGAAAACTAAAATGGTTTCTTGTCAATTTGATCTGTTTCTTAAACTACAATGGAAGCTAAGAACAGAATTTGTAGCTCATGTTCCTATTTACTTATTATGGTAGTCATTACAGGAAACCTGCTCAAGTATCTAAACAAATGAGTAGGAATTTCTCTGCACTGCATCAAGGTTTACTTTTTATACAACAGTAGCTGGTAATTGACAAAATGATGGTTCTTAAATAAAAATATTGCCAAGACTAACATCCTATATCATCAAGAATAGTAGTACATATTAGAAAGCTTTCTTCAAGACTTGAAAAATCATTCTTGGCTTTTAATGTCCCAGATAAACTACTTAGAAACAAAAAGTTAAGTGATACTGCGCTGCAATAGATTTCCATCCTAGTTTCTCTTTCCTGCCTCCAATTTCTCTGGCTTCATAATTCTCATGTTCTTTTTTTCTGACAGGGCCAAATTTAAATATCCCTTGATTTGTAAGGTGACTATACATTAATGGAATGCTCCAGTCTCATTTTATCACTTTATTACAAATGTCTGTCACTATGCAGAGGATAAATCAAATGATCTAGGCTAATATTATAGTACTAGTGTTGGATGCCACCAGTATAACAAATAACTAAGTGAGAAATAAAGAAGGAGAATCAAGCTAGAAACTTGGGGAATTATGTCTTGATGTGTCATTTGTGAGAAGACATTCAGGTAGGGGAGCTGAAAGCCAACAGAAAACAACGCCAAAATGAAATTGGGAAGTATAGCAGTTATTTATGTCAGCTCAAAATCAGTGGCTGCTGCTCAAGGACTAAGAGACTTTTAGTTTATTATTTACCTCAGAGAAGCAAGATTAAAAATTCTATAGATTACATGTGTTTTTTATATTCATATTCCTCAACTATTTTTTCTGAACAGCTTCTCACATTAAAGTGAATTTATTAGATATTCATCATTTCTAAATCATGCGTCTCAGCAGTTCATTAAAGTTCCCTCATTGTAAACAGAGTAATCATCTTATGCTTGAGTTCATTTAATATAGTGTGAGAAAAGTGTGAAATAGGTACAGTATGGCTACTGAAAGTAGGATGCATCAATCGTTAGTAAACATGCTGCGGTGTATCATGCACTAGGACACACTGAACTCAACAAAGCCTGTATTTGCTGTAGTTTTACACTTGACCTTAGCCAAAAGGCAAAGAAGCTTCTAGTTTTAAAACACATCAAAACACCTAATTTAAAACAAAAGCAAGATTCCAAATTCCCCTATCTAAACCCCTTGGGTTAAAATGTATTTTAGAATGAATAAAAGCTACAGAGTACGTATGTTGCACATTCTATAATACCTTCAACAGCACCAAAACATTACTATCTCAAAGTAGAATGTATTATGATTATAAATGAGATAAGCCTGTATACAGTCAATTCAGACTAGACTGCCACTAAACTTCTGATTTTAAGAACCTGTTGTGGGTGATAGTGCCCATGTTTTGTACCCCAATTGTTCCAAAAAGCAATAAATTTTTTCAAAATATGCTGAGAACCTACAGTTCGATTCACTTCAGCCAAATGAAAGAAAAAACAAACAACAAATCCAAGCTATTTACTCATCATGTTTCACCTCCTCTTACTTGATTGGAAATTGAAACTTAGCATTTATTGTGCCAAGAATAGGAATACAGCTTGAGCAAAAGACAAATAAATGAAGTTAATTACTAGTTTAGAGCTTTCAAGCAAGCATGTCAAGGATCACTTGACTTTGTTTATATTTTTTTGAGACAGGTCTTGCTATGTTGCTCAAGCTGGCCTTGACTTTTTCTGCTATCTCTGTCTCCTCAGTAGCTGACCTACAGGTGTAGGTGTGCACCACCCTACACCAAGCATGACTTGGTCTTCAAAGGTAATTTTTGCCCCATGTTCTGACTTGAGTCCCATTTACCCATTTTTTTTTTTTTTTTTGCGGTACTGGGGATTGAACTCATGACCTTGCGTTTGCCAGGCAGGTGCTTATGCTGCTGAGCTAAATCCCCAGCCCTACCCAATTCTTAATAAAGGCTGACTCTCACTAGTACCACTATTCATGATACACAGAATATATTCTAAGATATGACAAATATTATATATGTTAATCTTAATTAAAATTATATACAACTGTGTAATAAAAATAAAAATAGCTTACTAAGAACCGAACATGTCATAAATTTATCTTGAGTCTTTTCTTCAAATTTTTCTTTTGCCTTCTTGGACCACTGTGTAGTTCTTTCACATGGTTCAATATATGCCAGTTTACATTTAATTGCCTGTATCAAACAAAATTCCACAATTAAAGTAAACTTTACATAATCTTGGTTAAACATGCTTAAAGCCCTGAGTTCAAGTCCCAGCACTTCAAAAATCCAAAAAAAAAGAAAAGAAAATTAATTTTTTGTGTCTGAATTTAGAAATAAATAAATGTGTGAAGGTGTCTGTAAAAGTAGCTTGAAAATACAAATAATTCCAGGAAACTATTTGGTTGACTCAGTCACTGCACATCAATATACTGAATAAGCATTCATTTGAAAAGATAGGTACTTATGAGAAAAGTGGGTTTATAGAAATATGTATAATCTGATTCTATAATTGCTAAAAACACGGAAGATTCATTTCAGCAGCACATATGACCCATATTACTAATCAATATTCCCGAGTAATTCCCTTTTTTGCATATTTAAATTTCCAAGTTTACTGAAGTGTTATTCCTTTCTCAAAATGAAAAATGTGGCTAACAACAACTTGAATAATACAAGACTATACATTAGACATAAGCCTCCTTCATTAACTTCTTCAGGCATTCTATTCCTTAGAGTCAACGAAATTAAACTTTCTTTTCTTTTTTTAAATTTTTTTGGTGCTGGGGATCAAACTCGGCACTCAGACTTCGCACTTGCTAGGCAGGCACTTTTGCCCCTGAGCTAAATCCCTGGCCCTAAGGTTAAATGTTTTTACATAGTCTCCAACACATCTCTCAAATATTATATGTAACTCAAACACAGTAAAAGTATTTCTGAGATGAGATTTTTCATTTGAAATGTCATGCATTTGAAACTCTTGTATTATTTTTAAAAAAGCAGTAAGTAGGCTAGTAAGCACCTGACAGTAATACACATACATAAAAGTATTTATAATTAGTATTTATATACTAACATAAACACATTATCTTTGCAGAGCTTCGGATTCATGCATGTTAGGCAAGTGCTTTACCACCAAGCTACACCTCCAGTGCCACATATTACTCTCAAGTAATAACTATAACAACACTTACCTATAGTCCTTCTATCAGAAACTAGGGATAAAAATGGTGGCTATCAGCGCATTTCCACAGTAAAAGTAACTCCTAAAATACTTCCATGTTTGTATTTATAATTTAACTCTAGAGTTTATAACTAGTAGATTACCTTCTCTGGGGGATTCAGAAACTCATCCTTTATTTTACGCATCTCTTTAAGTGTTATTTTAGCAGTGTTGCCAAAGTCCACATATTTAATTTCAACTTCCCGATGTCCAGGCAATCCTTTAAAAATTAAGTAACTTAAAATCACAGACTTAGAGATTAGTATGTAGGTCCACTCATTTATGTTTTAAAAGACCCCCTCATCCACTTCCCAAGGTACTGGGGATTGAACCAGGGTCTGAGTTACATTCTCATCCATTTTTAAAACTCTGAGTCAGCATTTTGTTAAGTTCCTCAGGCAGGACCCAAACTTGCAATTTTCTTGCCTCAGTCTCCTAAGTGGCATGTATCACCATGTCTGGCATTAGAAATATTTGGTAGGTTCAAATATGCAAGTTTAAATGACCGATCACACACTGACTTTTCTGAAATCACTTAAAATACATGGTTGACTACTGCCTTTTTAGGGATATGAATGTGCTAAGTGCTATGAAATATGTTGCTAATATTTTCTTTCTTTCTTTTTTTTTTTTTGGTCTTTTTCGTTTTTATGGGTACCAGGGATCGAACTCACGACTGCCTGCTTGCAAGGCAGGCGCTTATGCCGCTGAGCTAAATCCCCAGCCCCTAATATTTTCAAGTTTAAAGATTAATAAGGTATATATCATTTCAGTAGAAGAACGAGTCCTATATTTTCTGCTTCTTGGCAGACGCATAAGTAGCTGGCACAGCACTGATACTCAGAATGACACTTTATACAGTATGCACCCTATGGCAGTGGACACTGGTGATAAGTGAGAAGGCACATGTTGTAAGTGCAAGACAGATAAACTTCTCCCCACTTCTTATCCCCTGCAATCTTCAGGACAGAAGGATATTCTCAACTGTATCAACACCATTAGATTCCTCCCCTTCCTTAAGATTCTAAAAGGAGATGTAGTATGAAACAAACAGGTGGATAAGTGATGGAATTTAAAGAATATTACACACTTTTCTTACCCAAATTATCAACCACATATGAGAACAGAATGGACTGGGAAGATCCTAAATTTATGTATTTATTAAGGAAACCAGTGGACAATGGATTCCCTAAGTAAAGTTGTAAACTGAAAAGGGAAACAGGACATAGAAAGCAAAAGATCCCGTACATGAGAACAATGAAGTATACTGCCAAGTGAAATAAATTCTCAGAATAACACATATGTTATAAGCCAGGAGGCTAATAAGCATTACACTTAAAAACAGAAGAATGTTTTCACGGTTCAAAAAAATTAAGAATATTTGAAAGGTCTAGGAAGGTGTAAAATTTTCAAGTATTAAGGAAATGTAGCTATAAACTAAAAGAAAACACAAGTGAAAAATTGATGTAAGTATTTACTAGAAATTAAAATACACTTCATGGGTTGGCAGTGAAAATATTTACATAGGATGTGGATTTAACTAAAAATTGTGATACAAATATGGCGAGAGATAGAGGACAACGGGGTATAAAGAGACATATTATTCATAATTATAGAATAATGACTCAGGCAGGTAATGTCTAAGACTGAAGCATCAATTGAAGTGCTACATTTTATCAGAAGAAATTACACAGGCAAATACCCAAAGAAACAGCTGGGAAAAATAAAAATACGATCCATGAATACTGGATATTTTAAATCTTGTAAAGAATCATCCTGAACACAGTGCTCATTCTACTTCTGCCCAAGAGTGAGAACCCTCGACTTGTTCCAGTATTGACATGACATATACTATGTTAACCTTAAATGTGAAAATGAGAGCAACAGTTTCACAGTACTGTATGTAAGTGTGTTGAGAAAGACTAAGATGAATCATTTGAGGAGGGGAGTACTATATACATAAAGTCTTAGCATTATTGTGCAGTATTATTAGTTTTTTATGAGGCAGACACCAGAAAACAAGCAAGAAAGTTACCAATGATCATCAAGGTGAAGTCTGACAAGGCTAGACAGTGCAGGAAGGCAGGCCAACTTTACACATACATCGCTGTTACCACACTCAGCCTTGTAAAGCATCTTTCCCAAATAGCATCCAAAGACTTCAGAGAAGTTAAATGTCCATCGAACATTCTGAGGTGAATAATTGTAACTTGAAGGGTAGTTTCAATATCCTTAGTGGTCATGAAAACTGCCTTAATTTGTTTCATAGATTGTATCCCAGTTTATTACAATATACCTTTTTTTTTTTTCCTTTTGGTTGAGGCACTGGGGATTGAACACAGGACTTTATGGCTGCTACGTAAATGCTTTATCACTTAGCTCTTCCCAAGGCTTTATTTAAACCTTATTTTGAGGCAGGGTCACATTAAATATCTTGGATTGGCCTCAAACTTTTGATTCTCCTGCCTCAGCTTCCAAAGTAGCTGGCATGACAGGTGTGTGCCACCCTACCAAGCTACACAGCTATCTTGATTACTGTTTGGATGTTTTGTTCATTTTAAGATTCCTGTTGAAATTTAGGCCCCAATTAGGACATGAGTAGAAAGTGTGGCCTTCGAGCACTCACTGATCACAAGGGCTCTGGCTTACAGCAACAAGTTTAGGTGTCCTTCTAAAAAGGTTTGATATAGAGGAGTCTGACTGTTTCTTGCCCTTCTGATGTCTGAGTACATGTTTGTTTCCTCTGGAGAATACAACAAGAAGGATCCACATTGGAAACAGAAGGACTAGGCCTTGACCAGCCAATGCTTGATCTTGGACCTTTTATCCTCCATATCAGGAATAATTTTCTAGTATTTATACATTGGTGTTTTGTTAAAGTAGTACAACACACTATGACATTCATTAGAACTACATTTCAAAAATCTTCAGCTAGTATAAGACACTATCCTCTGACTGAATTAAAGTCAATGTAGAAAATACTTAAGAAACCGGGCGTGGTGGCTCACGCCTGGGCTGGTGAGCTCAAGGCCAGCCTGAACTGCATAGCGAAGCGAGACCCTGTCTCAAAAAAAGACAAAAAGAAAACACGTAAGAGTTCTCTGGAAGGCTAAGGCAGGAGAATCACAAGTTCAAGGTTGGCCTGGGAAATTTAGCGAGGCCCAGTATCAAAAACAAACAACAAACAATAGTCCTGCCCCCAATTAAAGAAAGCTGGGGATGCAGTTCAGTATGAAGTCCCTAGATTCAATTCCCAGTACTGAAAAAAACAAGGTGAAAAGTTTTGATACTGGATTCAAGACACAGAATGTGCATATTATAAGTAATTGGTAAGGATCTTAAATTATTTAACAAATGGAAAAAAGCATTTTAAAGAGTATCAAACTTAACAAACTTTTTTTTTTTGTATGCAGAATCAAATTCAGGACCTTATGCTTGCTAGGCAGATACTGTGCCACTGAGCTATATCCCCAGCACAATTCAATCTTTTATTAAAAAGGTACTGAGATGCAAACTAGAAAGCATGTGGAAGTAATAAGATTTAATCCATCTTCTGTTGCTAGAACAAAATACCTGACACTGGATAATTTATAAAGAGATGGTTTATTTTGGCACATGGTTCTAGAGTGGGAAACCCAAGGTCATGGCACCAGTAGCTGCTTATCTTCTAGTAAGGGCTGGTGCCTCTTACACTCTAGGGAGAAAGTGAAAGATAAGTGGGTGTCTGTAACAGGGCACCGTTGCTTCATACCACGTTGGTTCCTAACAACTTGCTCTCTGGATAGCTATTCCCTTCCTGCAAAGGCAAAGACTCACTCTCCCAAGAAATGCATTAATTCTTTCACAATGGTTCTGCTTCTGTGGCCCAATACTTTTCACCTGTTCCCACCTCCCAGTACTGTCATGCTGTGGGTATGTATTTGTTGGTATGTAACTGTTCTCTTTAGTCAAGCTTGGAGCAGTAACCATACCCTTTTCTATTTTTGTTACTAGTACTTTTTAATAAATCTTCTATCTCCACTTCTTTAGAATTTTTTATTGTTTTATAAGCTGAATTTAATCACTTGATGTGAGGATATACATGAGGTAGAGAAATGCTTAAAAGAACTAATGTTAAATAATTCCCTGAAGAAAGGAAGCTAAGAGAACACAAAAGATTGCATAATCAATTTGTACCTTGACAAAATAACAGGGCAAAGACATTATAAAGACAGAAGTCATAGCCGGGAGTGGTGGCTCACATCTGTAATCCCACCACTCAGGAGGCTGAGGCAGGAGGATCGTTGCAAGTTCAAGACCAGCTTGGGCTAAAAACTGAGTTTAAGGCCAGCCTGAACTGCATAAGAGACCCTGTCTCAAAAAGAAAAAAAAAAGATAGATGTCACCAGTTTTCAATTCTAGCCAGATGCCCAACAGTTAAAGTCAAGTCAAAATCCAGGAGATTCATGTATTAACATTATAGCTAGATTTGTAGACAGGTGACAGAACAAATGGTAATGATACCACTTCAAGATTTAACTTGTGGGCTGGGGGTATAGCTCAGTGGCACATTGCCTGCCTGGCAAGTATGAGTTCTTGAGTTTGATTCGGGGTCTCTAAAAAAAAAGATATAATTTGTATCCACTCAAACATAACTTTTTGAAATGTGACAGTTCTCTGTGGAAGCAGTGTATACTCTCCTACCAATGACTTTTGCACGGTACCAAATTCCATCTTCAAATTTAGCTACACAGGCTTGATTTTGAACTGGACATACAATTTCCAAATTTTCCCCATCTTCACTTCTATAGAATTCTTCAATTGTCTTTAATAGCAGTAAAAAATCCAGATTCTCTACCTACAACATAAAGAAACAGAACACTGTAGTTTTATATAAACTTTAACAGTAGAATATGTTGTAGGTACTGCTCAAAAAATAAAACATTAAAACTGGATTAGATATGTCTCTAAATTATGTGCTATGTACTTTATTTTATTGCAGAAGCAATACAAAATTTGCATATATACATAGAGCAAAATCAAATCAAACTGCATTGTTAGTGTATATTTTTCTAGATTTTTTTCTATACACATATACCTGCCAGATTTTTAAATCAAAACTAGAACATACCATACATACAATGTATAACCCGTGTTTTACTTTTTTGGAGGGGATTTGAATCACAAGTCTTGTGCTACGTAATCCAGGGTGACCCTAAACTCACTATGTAGCCCAAGCTGGTCCTGAACTCCTACCTCAGCCTCCCAAACGCTGGGATTACAGGCTTGGCCACCATGCCCAATTGGTAACCTGTATTTTCTATCAATTCTTATACCTTTCCTTGTTCTGTAAATTCTACTTCTAAAGCATATTTAGCTTTCTTAATTGATCCAAACCAGTATGCAAGTCATTATCATACTCTTTCTTGATGTTATCTCTGTAACTCATAATTTAACAGAATATGTTCTTTTTAAAATGAAGTTTGGAGGGACAACCCACACCAAAATGTAACACAGCAGGCGACCATGTCTACAGTATATCTAATTTCTGAAATCACAAAGGCTGAGAGGAAACAAAAGACACTTAAGGATTTGTTAAGACACTGTTGAAGACAGCCGTCTCTCTTTCCATATAATACCTTTTCTGGATTTATATGGTTATAGTTTCTTTTTTTTTTATTTAAAGAAAAGGAAACGAAAAAAATACATGGAGATAAAAAAAGGGTAGAAATAATACAAAATTACAGACAAATAAAAGGTAAGAAATTGCAGGTTGATAAGTTACACATTGTCATCTTCGAAATAGCTGTTCAGGTTATAGAATTAAAATATTTAGAATGACATTCAAAAAGTGACCCTACAAACCATTCTGCTCTATGATCGAACAAAAGCTCAGTAATATGATTATCAGTCCTACACATTTGTTTTACATCTCAAAGAGGGTAAGATTAAACATATTAAAACAGAACAGAACATTTAAAAAAAAATAAAAAACAATTTAAAGAAATACAGATTTTAAAGCAAGTCCACTGGAGATCTTCATTATCTAACTGTCTCTAGCTTCTTACAAATAGTTGTCCCTATCTTCACCCACTTTATATACTTATTGCATATTATAGAACTAATCAAATCATTACAGGATGATGAAGTCTTTTTAGGTCCTCAAGTTCCAAATTAGGGAAGACAATAGTAACTACCATCGCATCTCTCATTCTCTTTGTGATAGCCATCCCCATCTCTGCATATGCTGAAGTTGAACTCAAGAAAACAGTCCAATGTCATTCTAATCAGCGAACAATAGATTGCTAGAATTTATATTATAATGCTACAAAATAAGCCTCGGGTTTCTCAGCGTCTCTTCCTCAGAGCATCTGTTCCTTACATCTTGCATTATATAATCTGTTCCCGTAAATAATTTAAAAAAAAAAACCCTTGTGTGAATTTCTACCTATATATCTATCCTCTCTGTATTATAGGGAAAACCAAGTCATAGCAAGACAGCAAAACAATTTCCTAGAAAAACATGCAATGGATAAGACATATAAGACTACAATACAAATGATCTTCCGTAGCTACTATGTTTTCTCTTGTTATTTTCAATAGATTTGTCCACAACACTGGCTTATTATAGTTAAACATACTATCACCTATTTTTATAAAAACTTAACTTTGACAGCATTGTAGGATTTGACAGCTGTTACTAATTCATACCCGTATGGATATCCTTTACATCTTGTCATGCTCAGAGTAGTTTCCTCTACTTTTAGGGTTGATACTAACAAGCATACCAATTTCAAATAGAATCAGCCAAGGCCAACCAATAGTCTTATGATTCAGATACAATTAAGATCAGTCATAGTAAGACAATGTAAGTAATACAGGATTTCAGCTTAAGTTAATAGGAAAGTAAGGATAGTTACCATGGTATAACCTGCTATTTTTGGTTCTACAGGTCTGTGTCCTCAAATCTGACATGAGTGGACAGACCAGAACAAATTAAATTCAATCTAAATATGGCACTAGGACTACTGTGTCTTTTAAATCGTTATACACCGTTAGCAATGACCTCTGCTTTTTTTAAAATATAGTTTCAGAGCTGTCTATACTAAAGAGTATAGCTTACCGTCTCTGCCTCATGTCTGCTACTCCACTTTTCTGCTATAATTTGTCCACCTTATTCCCTCATTCCATTGTCTGCCTCGTTCACTGAGGCCTCTCTGCCACTGTTGCTGGAATCCTGGTATCTCTTCCTCTCTTTCTCTGTAATGTCCTTCAGCTCTCTCTGTAGGGTTGGATTGGTGGCCATGAACTCCCACAGTTCCTCCTTGTCTTGAAAGTATCTTATTTCTTCATTAATTTTTAGAGAGAGTTTTGATGGGTATATGAACTTTGGTTGCATATTTTTTTCTTTCAGGACTTGGAATATTTCTCCCCACTCCCTTCTTGACTTAAGAGTTTGTGTTGATAAGTCTGCTGTTATTTTGATAGTTTTCCCATTATAGGTAACCTGCATCTTTTCTCTGGCTGCTTTCAATATTCTGTTCTTTTGGTGGATTTCTGGGATCTTGATTATTATATGTCTAGGCATTGATCTGTTTTGGTTGTAGGTAACCGGTGTTCTGTATGCTTCTTTTATCTGGATATCATTTCTTTTTGCTATACATGGGAAATTTTGCTTTAATATATCTGTGAATATTTTTTGTATTTCATTTTTGGATGCTCCTGCTTCCTCACTCACATTCTTTATTCTTAGGTTATGTATCTTTTTGTCATCCTACAGTTTTTGAATTGCTTCTTTCTGGTTCCTTGTTATTTTTAAGAGGCTTTTTCTTTCACGTTCATATGCCCTAAATCTCTCTTCAAGTTTCAGAAGGCTGTCTTTAGTTTCTGTCAAGGCATTTTGCCAGTGTTCAATGGAGTTTTTAGTTTCCTGATATTCTCTTTGGATCTGTTTCATGTATTCTAAGTTATGTTTAAATTCTTCTTCAGATGCTTCTCTTTCTTTTCTGATTTCCTCAGTTCTTCCATCTGTGTTCTCTTGGGCGGGGTTTGTCATTTCTTTAATTAATCTCTTTATATCTTGCCTCACTTGGATCAGGAGTACAGCTTTAAATTCCTCTATGAGATCATGTAGGTACTTTTTAATTTCGGCTGATGCTGTGTCGAGTAGTGGATGGTTACTGTGCTTGTTCTCTTCAGTGTTTAGCTCTCCTGGGCTTATTTTCTCCTGTTGGGCAGCTGGAGATTTTTTTTTTATCTCATCATGTTTCTGGTTTCTTTCAGACTGTCCTGGAGTTCTCTGACCCTCTCCGAATTGCTTAGGGCCTTTCAGAAGCGTGCTGGCTTGAGTTTTTGCTGTCCTCCCCAATTCACTGTTATCTGGGGTAGGCTGGGATGCAGGGGCGGTACAGGCTAGTCTCTAGCCTCTGTGCCAGTTAATTCATAAATTAGGCTGTACTTTCTGGTTGTCACTGATTTGTGACTATTTTGTATCCGCTTATTGGGCCCCAAGCAGAGGCTTGGTTTAGCCCCAGTAGCTCCTGCCAGTTCTCTTTGTACCAGAAGCAGCTGAGTAATGTCACTATGGCACAGGGTTCTGCCCAAATCCCAGCCGTTCTCTTCCAAACCTCTCTGTGACAGGAGCACCAGAATAGCAGATCTGCCCAAAACCAAGATGTCTCCCACTAAGTTCTCTGTGTGGAGCTGAAGCCAGCACGTAATCAGGCTCTGCCAGATTTCAAGATGTCTTCCACCAGCCCTCCCTACAAGGGGACCTGGTGATGTCACCGTGCTGCAGTTTCTGCCGCCTGACTAAAATGTCTGCCACCACTCTGTGTTATTGATTTCCCCGTGGTGGCAGGCCAGCTGTTCTCTGGCCAACCCCAGCAGCCGCGGGGTTCCCAGAGTCCGGCGCAGGTCCTCATTCCGGGACCACCGCACACCAAGCTGCCCACCTTTCCTGCACTCCCGGCACAGTGCGGAACGGTGCACAGCGTGCGCTCCTGGCACAGCGCAGAACGGTCAGATATCTGTGCACCATTTAGATTTGAAACACCAGAGCCTTGTACATCTCCTCTGGTGCAGCGGTGCAGTCCTGGCTGCTACTCGGAGTCCCGGGTCTCAGTTTCCCACAGTCACCAAAAGCAACACAGCTTTTCCTGCTGGGTCCACGGGTCAGTTTGTTGATTTAAAGGCGCGGGATTTGCAGCCTCCCGTTATCAGCGTTCACGGTCTCAGCACAACTTTAAATCCTCCAGCTGCACTGTCTTGGTTAATAAGAATCGCTATCGATTTGTCTGGCCCTCTCCATGTTGTCATTTTTTTAGCTTCTAGTATGATTTCTCCAGAGAGACTCTTCGCTTGATCCCCTAGCAAGCTGCCATTTTTTTTCTCCATATAGTTTCATACTATTATTTAGTATATTCGTCCATTGAGCAGGGTCTATCTGCTGAATTTCCTCAAAGATATATATTGTATCTAAAAATCTGACAGATTTATTTTTTATTTATTTATTTTTTGTCTTTTTCATTTTTATCGGTACCAGGGATCGAACTCACGACTGCCTGCTTGCAAGGCAGGCGCTTATGCTGCTGAGCTAAATCCCCAGCCCCAATCTGACAGATTTAAATCAAATGTTTGGGCTAATCTATATCATCGGAACTTTGCACACTCAGGTTGCAACACATCAGAAGAGAAAACTTACAGATTTACTGTTCTGGTTTGTATTTGGATGGCCCTCCCAAGTCTCATGCAATCATGGATGCAGCTGAATCTAGTATTTGTTGACTGGTTTGTTATCTAGCACTGGGACTGGTGATGTGAGTGCTACAACTGCCCGGGGTGGAGCTGACATACATG